CCACCATAATGGGCAGGTTGGGGATTTAGGGGGGCAAAAAACCCCCCACCACCAATGGTATTGTTAAGGGGGGGAAAAACCATCCCCCACCACCATAAGGGTAGTGTAGGTGGCACCACCCCCCCAAACCAAACCAAAATGGTAGTGTGGGTTTTAAACCATCCCCACCACCATAGGGGTTTGGGTGTAGTTGTCCCCACCGCCCGTAGGGGTAGGTGGGGTGGCACCCCCCCCCCAAAAATGGTAGTGTAGGGGGCCCATCCCCCCCCAACCATAATGGTAGTGAGGTGGCCCCAAACCCCCACCCCATAAGGGTTGTGTGGGGTTTCCCATCCCCCACCCCCAAATAGTGGTAGGAAATTTGTCCCCCACCGCCGTAGGGGTTATGTGGGTGGCCCCCATCCCCCCCACCTAAACCTCCCCAATAAAATGGTAGTTGGGTGGAAACCATCCCCCCCCAAACCATAATGGTATGTAGGGGCCCACCATCCCCCAAACCACCATAAGGGTAGTGTAGGTTTACCATCCCCCACCCCCAAAAATTGGTGGGTGTAGGGGGCACCCCCCCCCCGGTAGTGTAGGGGAAAAAGGGGGGGAACCATCCCCCCACCCCCAAATAATGGTATGTAGGTGGCCCCATCCCCCACCCCCATAAGGGTTTGTGTAGGGGGGGCACCACCCCCCACCCCCCATAAGGGGGAGGGGTAGGGCACCATCCCCCCCCAAACCAAATGGTAGTGTAGGTGGCAAAAACTGTGGGGGGTGTAGAGTGGGGGAGGGTTGCGGGCCAGCCACCCAACCAACCCCAAACCCACTGCTCACCATCACCCTCCCAAATAATCACTGCGGCAGCAGCGCGGGTCAGTATTTTCAACAATGAAAACCCGCAGCAGCAGCAGGCAGGGGGGATGCCCAAAACATTAAAAAAGTATTTTTTCCCCACCCAACCCATCCCCCGGCCCCTCATGCCATGACCCAAGAGCACTCCAACTTATTGCCCAAGAGGGTCAGTTTACGGATGGAGGCAACCCCAAAGTTATGGGTGAATTTGCTCAGGAAATACGAATTAAAACAAACCAGGCATCAAAAAAAAAAATGTAGAAATTAATTATATACGAGGATAAACTGATAACTATTTCAATATGAAATTAGACTTTGGTGTAAATTTTAAGTTTTTGAAAGGCTGGCCAGCTAGAATTGTCTCCAGTAATATAACAGTACTATATATACATTTTTTTCCTATTGTGCAGATATTTGCCTTTGTTTTCACTATTTAAACGTGTCTCTGCACTATGATAATGCCTCATTAGTTGATCTAGCAAAATATTGAAGAAATACTAAGATTTGGTTAACATTATTATAATCATGACTCAAGAAATCGTAATGACACGATTGCAAATAAACCATACCCCCGGATTATTATAATCACAAGGGAGCGCTAAACCCATAGGATTATACAGTGCCTGTGGGGAGGGGAAGGGAGATGAAAGGTATTGAGGCTTAATTCAGGGAAACCTCACCCAAATAAATAAATACTCGGGCCATAAATAAAGGACCCCAATGCGAATACTGTACTAAGTCTCTTTGTCTTACTTTTTTAGGTTATCCTGGGTTGTCTACACATTTGCTGCTATGTATGATAATCTGTGTAACTGTATCTGTGTATACCTGAATAAACTTACCAAATGCTACCCAAAACAATCAAGTAATAAGCAGAAAAAAGGATCTTACCTTTCACTGTTTTTTTTTAATTGTTGTAACTCAGTTTGCTTATTCTTATTTTGTCTTATTTTATTGTAAGTGACTTTCACAGAGTTGAGTTACTTAGGTCTTTTAACCATTGTTATAATCATGATTTATGTCTACTGTAATTTACTGGTAGGCTTTAAATAATAAGGCAGAACTGTAGGACCCTTATGAGTTTAGTGCTTAAAGTATGATTATAAAAATAATGATTTGAATATGATATTACAAGGACCCCAGTGGAAATAAGTCACCTTACTTTTTAGGGTTATCCTAGGTAATTTACACATATTATTATGTATGATAATTGTGTTTATGTGGACCTATACCCAAATAAATTTACATTACCTCAGTCACTGTATGAATCCTACGGGCTTAGAGATTCATCATGAAGATAATCAGTAAATATTGATTGCAGGGATTTTAGTTTATGTAAATTCTCTATTATTAAATGGGTTAAGCAGTGGAGATGGTTATACTTTGGGCCAATATGTAGAGACTATTTTTTTTCATTATTGTTAAATGGGCTGCTGAAAATATGAAGTTTGATGATGAGAAATTCCAGTTACTCCAATATGGAAAAAAGGAGGAAATTAAAACTATATCAAAGTATAAAACAAATTCCAACTACATAATAGAGCGAAAAACTAATGTAAAAGACCTGGGAGTGATAATGACAGAGGATCTCACTTTCAAAGACCGCAACATTGTATCAATCGCATCTGCTAGAAAAATGACAGGATGGATAATGAGAACCTTCAAAACTAGGGATGCCAAGCCCATAATGACGCTCTTCAGGTCACTTGTTTTATCTAGGCTGGAATATTGCTGCACGCTAACAGCACCTTTCAAGGCAGGTGAAATTGCTGACCTAGAAATTGTACAGAGAACCTTCACGGCACACATAACTGTGATGTAACACCTCAGTTACTGGGAACACTTGAAGTTCCTCAACCTGTACTCCCTAGAATGCAGGTGGGAAGATATTCATGATTATATGCACTTGAAAAATCCTAGAGGGATTAATACCAAACTTGCACACGAAAATCACTCCCTATGAAAGCAAAAGACTCGGCAGACGCTGCAACATCCCCCCAATGAAAAGCAGAGGTGCCACTAGCACGATAAGAGACAGCACAAAAAGTGTCAGGGGCCCAAGACCATTGAACTGCCTTCCAGCATACATAAGACAGCCCTGGCTGTCTTCAGGAAGGCACTGGACAGGCACCTAAAGTCAGTACCTGACCAGCAGGGCTATGGTTCGTACTTTGGGTTGCGTGCATTCAACAGTAACAGCCTGGTTGATCAGGCCCTGATCCACTATAAGGCTTGGTCACAGTCTGGGCCGAAACCCTCTCCAGGTATACACCATGTAAACCCCTAAAATAAATGAAACCCAGCCTAACCTAACTTGGTATTTACCTCTTAAACTAGGTTAGGGTGATGAGGAGGTCCTTGTGCCTCCTCCCATGGGAGACTTAGGTCTCAGACACTCCCTAAAGAGGGAGCCAAGGCCGGGCCACCACTTGGAAAAGGCCCGGGCCGGGAGAATACCGGCTAATCTTTAATAATAATAATAATAATAGGTTAGGGTAAGGTAAGAGATCTTACAATAGTTATAACTGTGACCATAATTTTTAAGTCAGTGGACCAGTAAGCCAGTGGAAGGTCTTGGTCAGATGACCACAGCCGCCAACGGCGAGTTATCACCTGACTAAGACCTGCGTCAGGTAACACTTGTCCTGTTTCTTGACAAACCTTACTTAAGAGAGATAAGATAAGAGGCTATTTTTTTCCTTACCAATGGATGAGTCTTCCATATCCTGGATCTGGGTCCAAGAGACCAAGTAGGCTGCAATGAATTAAAACAACTGGATGTTGAAGACTGAGTTAAACAACTGAAGTTATATCACATTTATAAAATTGCTCACAGTGTCCAGAATAACTTGCTGCCAAGTTTGTCAGGGCAGGGAACCAAAACAATTACAGTACTAAGAGAAAGGAATACAACTTTGTAGTACCCACAGTCAGTGGTCAAGCTTCAAACAACTTTTGTTGTACAGCAATAGAGGAGTGGAATGGATTGCCTGCACATGTCAAAGCCTCTCACAGCATGAGCCATTTCAGAAAGAGAGCAAAAAGTTATTGAATGAATGAAGCTATAGACAGGAAGGAGAGTGATTTCTTGTACTTATAACTGTGATCTGATCTCTCTCTGTTGTTAATGCAAGTAATTCGATTTACCTTATTCCTAGTATATCTCCTTTCATTGTAACTGCTTTTCACATAGTTGAGTTACTTAGCTGTTTTAACCTGTAGAGTTGCAAGGATCTCAATGGAAATGAGTCACTTTGTCTGACTTTTTGGGGTTACCCTAGGTAATGTACACATATGCTGCTGTGAATGATAATTTATGTAACTTTATTTTTGTGTACCTCTACCCGAATAAACTTACAACTTGTCCATTGTATAAGCCAATTGATACCCAAGACTTTACATAAGAGGTTATGGCTAGGCTCGAAACTGAGCCAGTAAACTGTGTATAAACTGTTGTTGGATAGGTAGTAATTACAATTCTCTCACTTGACTGAAAAATTTTAACTTCACTGACACCCTTCATGACTCAGTATGAGTAAGTTTATTTAGGTACACATACAGGTACACATAAGTACAATTGTCATACTTAGTGTAAATTACCTAGGATAACCCAAAAAATTCAGTTATTAATATACAGAATAGGTTCAGAATTACATTAATGGTTGAACAAATTTACTTTGTAACATTACAATACGTGTATTAAAGAAAATCAGCTTGCTGCAACAACACAATTTGTGTTTACAGATAAACTATTCATGTCAACTTGTGATAATGTAGGTTGACAGTAAAGCTCTGGGTTTCACACAAAGATTTTAAATGCTAGTCGTACCTCGCCTCAAAGCTCCTGAAGATTTTATCGCCTTCCCACATTGCTTGAAAGGCGATAAAATTGTTGTGTTCTGAAGCTCTGGGACAAATGACTGGATGCAGTGTTCTGTTGTACTTCATCTTGTGTTTTATTTTATATATATTTTTAATTACCTATGGCGTTATTTCTGCACTACCCTACAGTTCTGAATGACTTTCAGTAGATGCAATTTTGGGAAGAATCCTCTAGTTGTTGTTATTATTGCTTTATATTATTATTATTTTAATATTATCATTTTTATTATTTAAATTTAATGCCATCTCAGGAAATTTTCACTGTTTCCTTATTTCAGAAACCAGTTGTCCTGACAGACACCAAGCTCTGCGAAACAGCCTTAAAATGGGACTTAGATTATTTAGAAGAAAACTTGGGCACTGAGCTCTATATGGTATTTCTTTCTAAAAATCATAAGTTTAAGTATTATGATGAAGCTAAGATTAAACCATGCAAAATAAGTTTTATTCCACCAATTAGAAGAGTAGACATGACATTCTCAGAATTTGTAAAAAAACTTCGAGAGTGGAAGCCTGGAGATGAAAGGTGAGAACGTTCTTATTTTGATGAGACTGTAGTGTACATAGTGACCTTGGCCTCTTGAGTTTATCTTAATTAATGAGGTTAAACATCTGCCAATCCATGAAATATTACTGTTTTATTTTTTTATTATCACACTGGCCGATTCCCACCAAGGCAGGGTGGCCCGAAAAAGAAAAACTTTCACCATCATTCACTCCATCACTGTCTTGCCAGAAGGGTGCTTTACACTACAGTTTTTAAACTGCAGCATTAACACCCCTCCTTCAGAGTGCAGGCACTGTACTTCCCATCTCCAGGACTCAAGTCCAGCCTGCCGGTTTCCCTGAACCCCTTCATAAATGTTACTTTGCTCACACTCCAACAGCACATCAAGTATTAAAAACCATTTGTCTCCATTCACTCCTATCAAACACGCTCATGCATGCCTACTGGAAGTCCAAGCCCCTCGCACACAAAACCTCCTTTACCCTGTCCCTCCAACCTTTCCTAGGCCGACCCCTACCCCGCCTTCCTTTCACTACAGACTGATACACTCTTGAAGTCACTCTGTTTCGCTCCATTCTCTCTACACATCCGAACCACCTCAACAACCCTTCCTTAGCCCTCTGGACAACAGTTTTGGTAATCCCGCACCTCCTCCTAACTTCCAAACTACGAATTCTCTGCATTATATTCACACCACACATTGCCCTCAGACATGACATTACTGTTAGAACCATTAATTGTAATATTGTTTTTATTATGTGCAACTTCAAGATTATTATTCTTATAAACCTCCACCTTGACTAACACATTAGTATTAAGATAAAATAAAGATTTATTAAAGAGTTAACCACTCTTATCTTCTCTAGACTTCAGTTATTATGTACTAGGATTAGTCTGCCCTAAATGCCCCAGCATGATAGTGGCTTTCATTGTACTTGACAAATCAAAATTGTAATTCCATATTGTAATCTTTGCAAAGAAATAAAATTTTTATTCTTTTATTCCTGGTGTGGTTACTGTGTGCCCTCCGCCTCTCCAGCAGTTCCATGTTTAATACAGACACCATGGTTTTTTAACTATTTCTGATTTGCTACATCATCTGTGATCCACTTTTAACATTCTCTTCTGTTCTGTCAATGTTCTATACTTTTATCCTTTCTTTCTGAAAGTTTCCTTTACCCAGCATGACATTCTCTCCTATTTCACCTCTGCTGTATAGTGCTGAATGACCCTTACAGGTTTAACTTTTTCTATAAATATAATAATAATAATATTACAAATGAAATTTAGCCTGTGGTGCTTCATGAACATTCATCTTCCAGCAGTGTCATACCAGATTTCATATTGGTATCTTGTCATGTCTTGTTCCCTTGATAAAGAAACTTACCTTGAAACTGTTGCCTCACATAGAATCTTCCCAGATATATTTGTCAAGTGTAAAAAAAAAAAAAAAGGACACCACAGCGGGGCTTGAACTCGCAGTTAGAGAGTCGTAAAACTCCAGACCGATGTGTTAGCCACTGGGCCAACTGGCTACAATAAGATTCATCCAACTAGGTATATGGATGAATCTTATTGTAGCCAGCTGACCCAGTAGCTTATGTGTCGGTCTGTGAGTTTTACTGCTTTCTGACCACAGGTTCAAGCCCCGCCCGTGGTATGTTTGGAAATAAATGGTATGAAATACCAACACAATGGAAATATAAACATTTAACCCTTAAACTGTCCAGACGTAGATCTATGTTTTTTCAACATTTGAAAGTATGTAAAAAACGTAGATCTTCTTTTCTTTTTTTTTACATTTGAAAAACGTGTAAAAAAACTTTGATCTACTTTTTTTTTGTTATATTTGAAAATATGTAAAAAACGTAGATCTACTTTTGGATCACTACACATGTGAATGTAAATTTGTTTGGACAGTTTAAGGGTTAAGCAGTATAATGTGATCCTTTATTGACAACATTTCGCCCACACAGTGGGCTTTATCAAATCACAAACTTGATTGCTTAAGTGTTTATATTGCAGTCGTGTCACCTGTAAACTTACCAGTGTCTAAGGACACCAAGGATTGTGAAACATGTGCGCCAGCATGCTGGTGTGGCCATCACTTTAAAGTATGTAGGGTAATCTAAATTGTGATGTCAGCACACTTCTAGCAAGACAGCAACTGAATGAATGATGGTGAATGTGTTTCATCTTTGAGTCACCCTACCTTGCCAGATGACTGTTGAATAAAAAAAATATTATATTTTATGTATTCACATAATTATTAATTGAGGTTACCTCTAATGGAAATGTGGTTTGCATAGCTACTGTAAATAAAATGGCTTCATGAAAAAATGTTGAGATTACTTCCTGGAGGCTGTTTGAATATTCTTCCACCACCCCATATTATGTAATACAGTACAGGAGGACCCTGCATGTACAGCACCTTTTGTCACTCTTCCACATTTTCTTTGGTTTTTAATTGAACTATTGTTTCACCCACCGGCGAAAATCTCCAGTAGGTGGAACATGATGAACAATGTTTCAGTTAAAAGCCAACAAAAATATGGGCTACCGACAAGAGATGTTGTATATGTGGTGCTGTCCTGTACAGAAGTTTAAAAGACACATTGCAAGGGCATTTAAGTTGAATGTGAAGTTAATGAAAGATTTAAAAAAGTTGGTACTTTTTTTAATGTAATCTCCAAAAATTAAATAGAATATAATGTATTTTCATCAGCAGGATTTGTTCCCCAATACATATAGCATTTTATTCAAGGTCTCACTTTACAAGCCTCTTGACTTTAATTCCATAAATCTTCCACCAACAGAGCATACCTGCAACAGGGTCTCAACAATACAGTTGGGCAAGGGATCGTGATGGATTTCTTACAGTTTAATTGGCAGTGGCTTAATGTTCAACAGAAGAGACACAACTGGGGTCCCCTCACATCAAACCTTCTACTTGTTGGAATGGAAGGTAAGATTTCACAGAACTTTTTAACTTTTACTGTATTTCTCATGTGGTGTTACTTAGTTTTCTTCCTTGAAGTGTTACTGTGAAAGAAAGTCTTAGCAATTTGGTAAAATGTTTGCTCTCATAGATATAAGATGCCAAAGTTACAAATTACATGTTCTGTATGGTACAGTAATAAAAAAATAGTTATTGAATGATTTTGAGAAAAAATCTATATCAATGCTATTGAGTGTACTGTATTAAATTTACAGTGTGTTATGAAATATGAACAGTTGAGCCCGAACTAGAGATATGGGGAGTACACTGGTCTTAATTCGGTCAATGTGGTGTTAGCTGCATACCAGTCCTCTTGCTTTGCTGAGCCTGCAATGTTTTAGTCTTGCACCACAAACACATTACTCTATCCCACACTTGTTATTGTGATTTGTGTGCTATTATTAGGACAGGTGACCCTGAGATTATGGCAAAATAATTTTGCACTTATTTTGTTTGTTTACTTTTCTTCATTTACCCAGCCTGTGGGCATGACTCCTATTTGCTGATTTAGTATGATGAGCTTCCAATACCACCACCTAATTTCTGCACTCCACATTTTATGCACAGTACTCACACTACACATACCATCAATGCCTCCAGCTTCCTTGCTGCAATATTTAAAGTCTGTGCTAGATTAGATTAGGTTAAGTAAGGTTTGTCAGGAAACAGGACAACTGTTTCCTCACTCGGGTCTTAGTCATTTGATGACCCACAGCTGGAGCTTTTGGTTATCTGACTAAGGCCTTCCACTGGCTTATCAGTCCACTCCTTAAAAATTATGGCTACAATTATAACTATTAGATTTATTCACATTAAAGTCTGTTTCTCACACCCATAATATTACAGCATTATTCTAATACTTTTATATTTTTGTTCTTATTTTTTTTTTATCTTTTAAGGAGTATTGTACAGTATAACCCCCATATCCATGGGGGATATGTTTCAAGCACCTGCCGTAGATACTGAAACCACAGATAGTAGCAGATCCTGTATATAACTCCTTTCTTCTTTCTTTCAACAAACCGACTATATCCCACCGAGGCAGGGTGGCCCAAAACAAGAAAAACGAAAGTTTTTCCTTTTAAATTTAGTAATGTATACAGGAGAAGGGGTTACTAGCCCCTTGTCCCTGGCATTTTAGTCGCCCCTTACAACACGCATGGCTTATGGAGGAAGACTTCTGTTCCACTTCCCCATGAAGATAGAGGAAATATACGGGAACAAGAACTAGTAAGAAAATAGAAGAAAACCCAAAGGGATGTGTGTATATATATATATGCTTGTACATGTATGTGTAGTGTGACCTAAGTGTAAGTAAAAGTAGCAAGACATACCAGAAATCTTGCATGTTTATGAGACAGTGAAAAGACACCAGCAATCCTACCATCATGTAAAATAATTACAGGCTTTCATTTTACACTCGCTTGGCAGGACAGTAGTACCTCCCTGGGCGATTGCTGTGTACCAGTCTACTACCTGCATACCTATTATAAAGTTTAACCCTTTCAGGGTCCGTCCCGTAGATCTACGGCTTTACGTTCAGGGTCCAAACCGTAGATCTACGCCATGAGCTCAGCTCACTCGGATAAACTGTGAGTGGTACATTTGGGCCTAGATATGAGAGAATACATCTATGTGGTATGTGTGCACCACATAAAACAGATCCTGCAGCACACTGTGTATAATGAGAGAAAAAAAATGAAATCATGATTTTTCGATTAAAACAGCAACTTTGCAGTGTTTTTTCGTATGTTTTTTATAGTTGTATTTGCGATTTCTTGGTCTCATTTGATAGAATGGAAGACATATTACAGAAATAGAGATGATTTTGTTTGGTTTTAGCACTGGAAATGGCTTGAAACTGAGCTAAAGTAGCAGAAAAATGTTAAATTTTGCCGATATTCAAGAGTAAAAAAACGACCTCACACGTCTAATACACGTCAGCTGGTGGGTCTGATATACATTCACAAATATGGTGATGATATTTATACAATTATTACAGTATTGCATAAAGTAAATCTTCTATTTTTTGGTGTGAATAAAAATTCATTATGTGAATAAAAAATCAAAATGGAATTTTTTTGTAAAGCCTCAAAACATAACTAAGAACAGAGGAAATGTTAGTTTAGTGCCAGGAATGCCTACATTGTTCATTCTGGACCCTTTTTTAAAATTTGGGGAATATTTTGAACTTTGTGTTAAATTGGCCAAATTAACAATTTCGATCACTTTATTTTGTATTGAAACAGTTTTGACCTTGGGCGGGCATTTTTTTTCTTGGGGTGCTAAAAATGCGTTTTAAAGGAAAAAAAGGAAGAAAATTTTACTTTAGTGAAAAAATTTAGCTAAAAAAATTTTTTTTTTTGGTTGATGTTGGAATTAATGTAATTCGCCTTTTTTGAAAATTATGGTTAAAGTCCAAATTGTCGGCAAAATTTTTTTCGCCGGGGTTTTCCCGTAAATATGGGACTGACATAATCAAAATTCGCGGGAAAAAAAAGCCATTAAATATTCTCAATTTTCCACCAAAATTCGTACTTTTAAAAGTTTTTATTAAACCTTTCAAAAAAGGGGATTCTCATAACCGATTTATAAGAAAAAATTAAAATTTTAAAATTTTTTTAATTCCTTGGAAAACACCAAAGGTTTTTGGGCGGTGACTTCCAGATTTGTGGCCCTTTTTGGGACCCCCTGAAAGGGTTAATTGGGGTTTTTTTAAATATTATAAACACTAAATTTGAGAATTTTTCACTTTTTCAAACTGGGGATTGGGAAGAAAATTTATAGGTGGCTTTGAAGAAATTGGCCAGTTTCAAAAATTATTTGGGGTTGGTTTAATGGCAATTAGGGAAAATTAAGAAGGGATAATTTTGGGGTTAAGTAAACGTTGGATAGAAAAGGGGGCCGGGTTTTAAAACGGTTTTCCAAAGGGGGAATTATGGAGGTTTCCCAAATTACTTAATTTTGTGATGAATGTTTGACAAAACCGGAAAAGGGGGGGAAGTTTTGAGACACTTTGGAATATGGAATCTTTATTTAAGAGAAGGGGGGTTACCCAAAACTGTGGTCCAAGTCAATTTGAGGGTTCGGAATGGGGGGAGAATGAGGAACAGTCTAAAAACCTGAGTGAAGGGGGTTGGGAGGTTGGAGGAGGGGGTAAAGGAGGTTTTGTGGCGGGGACTTGGACTTCCAGAAAGGCTGCGTGAGCGTGTTGATAGGAGGAATGGAGACAAGGGTTTTAAACAAACTTGTTGGAGTGTGAAAAAGGGTAAATTTATGAAGGGTTCGGGGAAAATAGGCGATAGGGTTGTGTGGGATTTTAGTGTTTCTTTTAAAGGGGTTTATGTTCATTAAAAACTGTAATGTAAAACATTTGGAAAGTGTGGGTGAAAGATTTAAAGTTTTTCTTTTTGGGCCCCTTTTTTTTGGGAACCCTGTGGTTAAAAATTAGTTTACTGAAAAGAAAAAATGTAAATTTAAATATAATTAAAAATTAATAGAAAATTAATTATAAAATTTCAATTAGGATGTTAGATCAAGGGGTTACAAATTTAGCAAAATGAACAATTAGAAAGTAAATTTTATCATTAATTTTTAAAAAACATATTATAAGTGTAGAGGTGCAAATTAAGATGTTGAAGATAAAAGGTTTAAAGTATTTAAAACCCAAAATTTTATGAATAAACTCTTAGGGGTTAGGAGAACCCCCTTTCCCGGTATAAGTGGTCTTAACAAATGTTTAAAATGTTGTTATAAATTAAAAAAGGTAAAGGGAGTTGTAAAGGGGGTTGGAAGATGGAATTTTTTTTGGGGAATAAATTCAAAAGGGTTACCTTTTTTTGTATGATCTGGTTAGGGGATTCTGAGAAAAATTGCAAAGGTTAGTGGATGAGTTGGAATGTGTGTAAAGGTAGAAAGTTGAAAGTGAACTAGAAAAGAGTAAGGTGATGAGGGTGTCAATGATTTAGATAAAGAAAAATTGGATATCAAATTGGGGAGGAGGAGTATGGAAGAAGTGAATGTTTTCAGATACTTGGGAGTTGACGTGTCGGCGGATTGATTTATGAAGGATGAGGTTAATCATAGAATTGATGAGGGAAAAATGGTGAGTGGTGCGTTGAGGTATATGTGGAGTCAAAAAACGTTATCTATGGAGGCAAGGAAGGGAATGTATGAAAGTATAGTAGTACCAACACTCTTATATGGGTGTGAAGCTTGGGTGGTAATGCAAGCAGCGAGGAGACGGTTGGAGGCAGTGGAGATGTCCTGTTTAAGGGCAATGTGTGATGTATATATTAAGCAGAAAATTCGGGTGTGGAAATTAGGAAAAGGTGTGGAGTTAATAAAAGTATTAGTCAGAGGGCAGAAAGAGGGGTTGTTGAGGTGGTTTGGTCATTTAGAGAGAATGGATTAAAGTAGAATGACGTGGAAAGCATATAAATCTATTGGGGAAGGAAGGCGGGGTAGGGGTCGTCCTCAAAAGGGTTGGAGAGAGGGGGTAAAGGAGGTTTTGTGGGCAAGGGGCTTGGACTTCCAGCAAGCGTGCGTGAGCGTGTTAGATAGGAGTGAATGGAGACAGATAGGTACTTGGGACCTAACGATCTGTTGGAGTGTGAGCAGGGTAATATTTAGTGAAGGGATTCAGGGAAACCAGTTATTTTCATATAGTCGGACTTGAGTCCTGGAAATGGGAAGTACAATGCCTGCACTTTAAAGGGGGGTTTGGGATATTGGCAGTTTGGAGGGATATGTTGTGTATCTTTATATGTGTATGCTTCTAAACTGTTGTATTCTGAGCACCTCTGCAAAAACAGTGATAATGTGCGAGTGTGGTGAAAGTGTTGAATGATGATGAAAGTATTTTTTTTGGGGATTTTCTTTCTTTTTTTTGGGTCACCCTGCCTCGGTGGGAGATGGCTGACTTGTTGAAAAAAAAAAAGTAAATAAATAAATAAAATATATATTATATATAATATATATATATATATTTATATATATATATATATATATAATATATATATATATATATATATATATATATATATATATATATATATATATATATATATTTTCAGCTGTCTCCCACCGAGGCAGGGTGACCCAAAAAAGAAAGAAAATCCCCAAAAAGAAAATACTTTCATCATTCAACACTTTCACCACACTCACACATTATCACTGTTTTTGCAGAGGTGTTCAGAATATAACAGTTTAGAAGCATTTACATGTACATATAAAGATACATAGCATATCCCTCCAAACTGCCAATATCCCAAACCCCTCCTTTAAAGTGCAGGCATTGTACTTCCCATTTCCAGGATATGTTGTGTATCTTTATACATATATGCTTCTAAACTGTTGTATTCTGAGCACCTCTGCAAAAACAGTGATAATGTGTGAGTGTGGTGAAAGTGTTGAATGATGAAAGTATTTTCTTTTTGGGGATTTTCTTTCTTTTTTGGGTCACCCTGCTTCGGTGGGAGACGGCCGACTTGTTGAAAAATATATATATATATATATATTATATATATATATATATATATATATATATATAATATATATATATATTATATATATATATATATAATATACACACACACGCGCACACACACACACACACTCAGAAGTGTCCCTGTTTGCAGACGATGTGAAGTTAATGAGGGGAATTAAATCAGATGAGGAACAGGCAGGACTTCAAAGAGACCTGGACAGACTGGACACCTGGTCCAGCAACTGGCTTCTCGAATTTAATCCCGCCAAATGAAAAGTCATGAAGATAGGGGAAGGGCAAAGAAGACCGCAGACAGAGTATAGGCTAGGTGGCCAAAGACTGCAAACCTCGCTCAAGGAGAAAGATCTTGGAGTGGGTATAACACCAAGCATGTCTCCAGAAGCACACATCAACCAGGTAACTGCTGCAGCATATGGGCGCCTGGCAAACCTGAGAACAGAGTTCCGATACCTTAATAAGGAATCGTTCAAGACACTGTACACCGTGTACGTCAGGCCCATACTGGAGTATGCAGCACCTGTTTGGAACCCGCACTTGATAAAACACGTCAAGAAACTAGAGAAAGTGCAAAGGTTTGCGACAAGGTTAGTTCCAGAGCTAAGGGGAATGTCTTATGAAGAAAGGTTAAGGGAAATCGGCCTGACGACACTAGAGGACAGGAGGATCAGGGGAGACATGATAACGACATATAAAATACTGCGCGGAATAGACAAGGTGGACAAAGACAGGATGTTCCAGGGAGGGGACACAGAAACAAGAGGTCACAATTGGAAGTTGAAGACACAGATGAGTCAGAGAGATATTAGGAAGTATTTCTTCAGTCATAGAGTTGTCAGGCAGTGGAATAGCCTAGAAAGTGATGTAGTGGAGGCAGGAACCATACATAGTTTTAAGATGAGGTATGATAAAGCTCATGGAGCGGGGAGAGAGAGGACCCAGAAGCAACCGGTGAAGAGGCGGGGCCAGGAGCTAAGACTCGACCCCTGCAACCACAAATAGGTGAGTACAAATAGGTGAGTGAGTACCCACACCCCCTCCCCTCCCTCCCCCCTCCCCTTCCCTCCCCCCCTCCCTCCCTCCCCCCTCCCCTCCCTTCCTCCCCTCCCCTCCCTCTCCTCCTCCCTCCCCTCCCTTCCTCCCCTCCCTTCCTCCCCTCCCCCTCCCCCCCCCCTCCCCCCCCCTCCCTCCCCCCTCCCTCCCCCCTCCCCTCCCCCTCCCTCCCCCTCCCTCCCCCCCCCTCCCTCCCCTCCCCCTCCCCTCCCTTCCTCCTCCCCCTCCCCTCCCTTCCTCCTCCCCCTCCCCTCCCTTCCTCCTCCCCCTCCCCTCCCTTCCCCCTCCCCTCCCTTCCTTTCCCCTCCCCCTCCCTTCCTCCCCTCCCCTCCCTTCCTCCCCTCCCCCAGTCCTCGATGACGCACTGACTTTCTTGGGTTATCCTGGGTGGCTAACCCTCCGGGGTTAAAAATCCGAACGAAATCTTATCTTATCTTAGGAGCCCTTGTTTGAGATTGAGTTGTTGGAGTAATGACCCCAGAACTAAAAACAGATATGCTGAAGGGACATTAAAAATTTTTCACCACAAATACAGTGGGATGCTGCCAGAATAGGGTAAATGAGGAAGTAGCAAATACTGCCACCACTGGAATATATAAAATACATACACGTAAGATATGCTACTCAGCAAATACAGAACACCAACTGTGGCTCAGTTGGCAACACATTAGCCTCATGTACTGAGTGTGCGTGGTTCGATTCCCAGCACAGGTGGAAACGTTGGACATGTTTCCTTACACTTTCTGTCCCTGTTCATCTAGTAGTAAGTAGGTACCCAAGTATTAGTTGACTGTTGCATCGCATCATGAGGGACAAGAGTAAAGGACCCAGTGGCAAAAGACAGACGGTCCCCTACGATGTACTGATTGTATTAGGTTATCTTGGGTGGTTAATCCTCTGGGTTAAAAATCAAAACAAATCTTATCTTGGTATAGTTTTAAGTGTGTGCAGTACATACAAATAGGTACAGTAATTACAAATAAGTCAATACAGTACACACACTTCTGACCCCCCCTTCCCTTTTCCCTAACTTTTTAAAATTAAGGCCTTTTAAATTTTAAGTGGTCTTTAAAGGTCAAAAATCACAAAAAAGACTGTAAATATTGTTGCAAAATCTGCTATGTAATTTTAATCAGATTTTTTCATACAATGAGCCAATTCTATTCCTTAGTTTTAAGTCTTATAAAGTCGTGAAAATTTATGACATATCAAATGTAGTATTCATCTGAAAGCAAAAGCATTAACTAATGACTGTTTTCCTAGTTTTTTTATATACTGTACTTTTAATAATTTAATTGAAAAAGGTAGACAGAAAATTTACTGACAAATACAGATATTGTTCATAATTTTAGGTAATGTGACTCCAGTGCATTATGATGAACAACAGAACTTCTTCTGTCAGTTGGTTGGTTACAAACGGTGCATACTCTTTGCACCCGAGCATTACGAGCACCTCTACCCTTATCCAGTATATCATCCACATGATCGACAGTCTCAGGTAAACTGGCCAACATAACAGGTTCTCATTGCTAATTGTAATGATGCACATTCTTGTCGAATGGTTTTACCAGCTGGTACATTAACTAGCATGAGTTGTCTTCTTTTGATTGACCTTAATGTATATTGAAGAACTCTTATTAATGATAGGAAACCACTGTTTAACAAAGGCAAGAAATGGGTGTTATTATGGAACAGTGTATCACTTGGGCTCTTCAGCTAGAATGAGCCTGTGTTGTATGTTGCAATGTTAGGGGTTTCTTTATTTTTCTTTTCTGTTTTTTAACACATTGCCCATCTCTCACCGAGGCAGGGTGACTCGAAAAAAGAAACAAAAGTTTTTCTTTTTACATTTAGTAATACAGTGGTCCCTCAATAATCGTCTGGCCTGAAAGTTGTCCATTTCGGAAATAGTCCTGTTTTTTCGTCAAAATATTGGCTCGCAAATGGTCCGGTAACTCGCTAATAGTCCTAATAGTCCTTCGTCTTGGACGTGTACTCACGCTCTGAGCCGCCTCGGCCTTTCCTTCCCAGCCAGTGTGCCAATGTTTACCAGTGAGTGACGGTCCCCTCACATGCTCCTATGAAATATTTCATAATATTCCATTGATTTTGGGACTTGGGACTTGCAAATGAGTGGATAGAGTTATCAGAGCTTATTTCTTGGGTAGCATTGAGGACTGGCTTGGGAAAATGTTTCGTTAGTGGGATGAATTGTAAAGGACCTGCCGAGCATGGGCCAACAGGCCTGCTGCAGTGATCCTCCTTTCTTATGTTCGTATATTCTTATGTTCATCAACCACTATCACAACTGCTTCCACTCTACCACCACCATCTTTGTATTTTTCTACAAACTTTTTCATAAATTATGTGTTTCTCACATTCTTTACCAAAAGGCTGGCACTAGAAGCTTTGTTAGGTAAGACACATATGCAACAGTTAGATATCTTTATTATGAAACGTTTCGCCTACACAGTAGGCTTCTTCAGTCGAGTACAGAAAAGTTGATAGAAGCAGAAGAGACTTGAAGACGATGTAATCAGTCCATCACCCTTAAAGTTTTGAGGTGGTCAGTCCCTCAGTCTGGAGAAGAGCATTGTTCCAAAGTTTGAAACAATATGGTGGTAGAAGGTAGTAGTGATGGTGGTAGAAGGTAGTAGTGATGGTGGTAGAAGGTAGTAGTGATGGTGGTAACAGTTGTAATAGTGGTAGAAGGTTGTAGTGATGGGGCCTTTTTTATAGATTGTATTTTTGCATTGGGTGAGATGGACATGAGGGATGTCAAAAAAAGTTTTATTCCTTGTCTTGTGCCTGTGTGTTCTGTTATAGGTATCAAGAAGTTTGAGAGGAGGGTATATAATGAAGTTTAATGTTATATATTTGTAGTAGGCACAGTAATATGGGTACATATTTTGTACACAGAGTAAGTTCAAGCTCTTGAAGATTGCCCATTCCTGGCGCAGGAATGGGTGATCATCCGCACTGCAACTTTTTGTTGGGTTATTAATGGTTTAAGGTGATTAGCCATAGTAGATCCCCATGCACAAATACCACAGGTGAGATAAGGGTTGATTAGAGAGTGGTATAGTATAAGTAGTGCTGTTTGGGGTACATAGCACCCTATCTTTGAAAGAATGCCTAATCTTTTGGAGACCTTAACTATATGTTGGATGTGGGTCTGAAATTTAAGGTTGCAGTCAAGATGAATACCTAAAAATTTACCCTCAGTGTGTCTTGTAAAGGGGGAACCATTAATCAGTATGTTAAGTTGGATATTAGAAGTTTTTTTCCCAAACATGTAGTAAGTTAGTTAAACTGTGAAAGCTTTCTTCAAAATATCAATGGATTTTTTTTTAACACATCGGCTGTCTCCCACTGAGGCAGGGTGACCCGAAACAGAAGTGTTACTTCTTTTTACATGTAGTAATTTATACAGAAGAAGGGGTTACTAGCCCCTTGATAATTGGAAATCCTGTGCAATAATATATTAAGTACAGTTCACACTACAAAACTCTACTAATTCTCCTGATTTCAAAATTCTAGAGCCATCTCTACAAGAGATACTGTACACTATATCATAATTTACATATATGTAAAATATACCCTACAGGTCAAGAATGTAATTGCACTAAAACAGCAGCATAATCAAATGATAGATAAAGGAGGAATGTCAAAAAACACAAGGTAAAGAATGAGTTTGATAAGCAGAGTACAGTCAGCAAAGAGTGTCATCATCCTTGTCTGACCTCTCTTCAACCTAGTAGCGGCAGATTTAGTAAATATTGCAGAACAAAGGCAACACCTAGGTACCTAATTTCTGCCTGATGAACAAGGGCACTAGGTGCAGAGAGAATCCAGAACATCCCACAACAGGTGACTAACACCCAGGTACCTATTTACTGCTAGGCAAACATGGAAATCAGGCTTAAAGCATTGAAAGAGAATACAGTACAGCATGAGGCCTGCACCCATTTGCACAACAATGGATATGTTTTGAATCTGATTCTGTGATGAAACAAACCAGGATCATCCTTTGGTAGGTGAATTAAAAACATAGTAAATGACATGGCTCACTCCCATCGGTTGAAGGTTAAGATGCAAGACCAAGATATCTAGTTTAACCTTAACAAAAGGTAGTAATTATTCAGACGCAGCTACAGCCAAGAAATGTGCAAGTCGGCAGTGTAATACAAGACACCAATAAATTATGAAACCTTGATGGAAATACAGTATGTTACATTGTTTGACATTATTGGGTTTACCTATGCTAAAACCATTGTTGTGTGTGTAAAACATTTCTGCTCTCAGAACCACTGAATAAATTTAATTTACTGTCTGTAAAATATTTGTAAATTTTTCTGGATAAAGCTTATCTTATCTCAGAATTGTACGTTGGTACCAGAGGTACGCAGATAAAATTTGTGGTGTACAGTTGCAAACCAGGGTGTGAATAATTGTAAACTAGGGGGTAAGCAGTGGTGAAAGCAATATGAATAAACAGAAAAGGTGGAACCTATAAGACAAGTTTGTTAGGAAGAAATAATTGAAATAGAAAATGGTGAAGAAGAAAAGTGGTCGAGATTGCCAGTACTCAGCTGTAAGTTCGTCGTGTGCATTATCTTAACTGGAGTTGACAGGAAGTCTCAGACAAGGAATGTTCAGGGTTGGGCATTTTTAAGTGTGATAGTGCACCAAATTCTTTGGTTATTTTTTATAACAAATTCTTGGGCTATTTTTATACATTTGATAAAAAAAAAAATGAGAAATGTGTATAAGCTAATAGCACTTTTCTCTCTTAAGAAGAAACACCCTCTCATGGGAAGTTCTTGATGCTGATGAGGGACTCTTGATACAAGAATTAAACCTGTGCTCCAGTTCCTTGAATCAAGCCTGAATGCCTTCCATTTCTCCTGGCACTTCCCCCATGATTGTTTTTTTTTAATACACTGGCCATCTCCCACCGAGGCAGGGTGACCTAAAAAGAAAAATGAAAGCTTTTCTTGCTTTACATTTTTTGTTTTTCAATAAGTCGGCCATCTCCCACCGAGGCAGGGTGACCCAAAAATAAAGAAAATCCCCAAAAAGAAAATTCTTTCATCACTATTCAACACTTTCACCTCACTCATACATAATCACTGTCTTTGCAGAGGTGCTCTGATATTACAGTTTAGAAGTCGCTCCAAACTGTCAGTATCCCAAACCCCTCCTTTAAAGTGCAGGCATTGTACTTCCCATTTCAAGGACTCGAGTCCAGCTAACCGGTTTCCCTAAATCCCCTCGCTAAATATTACCCTGCTCACACTCCAACAGCTCGTCAGGTCCTAAAAACCATTCATCTCCATTCACTCCTGTCTAACATGCTCACACACGCTTGTTGGAAGTTCAAGCCCCCTCACCCACAAAACCTCCTTTACCCCCTCCCTCCAATCTTTTTGAGGATGGCCCCCTACCCCTCTTTCCTTCTCCAACAGATATATACAGTACTCTCTCCAACTCATTCTGCTTTGATCCATTCTCTCTAAATGACCAAACCACCTCAACAGCCCCTCTTCAACCCTCTGACTAATACTTTTAGTAACTCCACACCTCCTCCTAATTTCCACACTCCGAATTCTCTGCATAATATTTACACCACACATTGCCCTTAGACAGGACATCTCCACTGCCTCCAACCGTCTCCTCGCTGCTGCATTTACCACCCAAGCTTCACATCCATATAAGAGTGTTGGTACCACTATACTTTCATACATACCTTTCTTTGCCTTCATAGATAGTGTAATTTATTCAGGAGAAGGGGTTACTAGCCCCTTGCTCCCAGCGTTTTAGGCACCTCTTACGGCACACTTGGCTTACGGAGGAAGAATTTTTTCATTTTCCCAGGAGGAGTTTGGGATATTTGCTATTTGGAAGGACATCTGAACTGTTGTATATGTGTGCCTCTGGCAAAACAGTGATAATGTGAATGAAGGAGAGTATTTGTTTTTTGGGTCACCCTGCCTCAGTAGGAGACAACTAGCATACTAGTGGGAGACAACATGCTGTACTAAGTACAATCATTGTGCAAGTCTCTCTGAGCTATGGTGTGCACTGTAGTCATTTGGTTTCTGGTAGGGGAAAGAAAAGGTTTTAAACTGCTTGTGTGTTTGGAAACAAGGAGTAGATAACTCTTCAAAGTTAGTTAAAACATGCAGGCACTTACATTTGGAAACTGCAAATGTTACTGAATTTAGTAAGTACAGTGTTTTTGTGCCCAGGGGGCCTCAAACCCCCAGAATGCATACCATTTTCATATGTCATTTTTATGAAGCATTTTCATTTTGGGGAAAAAAATTCAAACAGTATACGTGTAGTTAGTTTACAAAAAGGGTTATAGCAATACCACAGTAGGATGAGGTTTTTTTTTTTTTTTTTTTAACAAAAACCCGGCCTACCCACTGAGGCGGGTGGCCCAAAAGGGAAAAACAAGTTTCTCCTTTTACATTTAGTAAAACGGGACCCCCC